TACCTAAGATAAAGACATCAGAAGATTCTATAAGTCCCTGTGTCAGGCATTCTCTTCCCACAGAGGTTACTTGTCATATCTTCCTACGAACCTCTGTTCTAATACGACCATATTTCCCGGTTCTCGTAAAATCCCCTAGCGGCAAAAGATCGCAACACGAATTATCTCCCTTCTTTCTATCCAGTCAGAACACGTGTTACATCGACTTAGATTCAACTTGACTAACACAAGCAAATGTGGGGCCACAAATATCCCCCATCTGCCGGGGACTTGTGTTGATGTTACACACAAGACGTTTAATGGCTTGCTTGTCCGTTGTCAACGAGGGCGATGGAGACGCCACTGATCCGCCATAACATGACTGAGTTCTGTCTAGAAGAAACGTTTGCGCATCGCGCAGGGGAAGAAGTTTAGTTTTCTCGAAGCATACGGAAATTACCGAGGCCTTGCGAATGATCACTTTTGAAACAACGTCGCTGATTGCACAACTAAATCTGATTGCCTCCAATCACGAGTCTTTTACGCTCACACCATGAAAGGGCCGTATTAGAACAGAGGTTACGTAGGAAGATATGACAGGAGTAACCTCTGTGGGAAGAGAATGTGTGTCAGGATATAATGGAAATCCCATATAAAGGCCGATTGAAGAACTCTGTCTATATAGAGCACAACACTCGTCTAAATATAGCACACCACGACCCCTTCACTGACAACCCAAACATACACTGTACCATACGTGTAACAAACTGACAAAACATGAACACTGTAGAAATGTATTTTCACTTGATAAATTTATTTTAACGCATTATCTTGAAATTTAAAGATACTACAATATAACAACAAATCACCAAATGGCATTTAAAGACTTCCGTATTCAGTAGGAAGACCTTTTTACTTTCAATTAGTATTCCGTAGGGAGACCTTTTCATTTTCAATCAGTATTCAGTAGGAAGACCTTTTTACTTTCAATTAGTATTCCGTAGGGAGACCTTTTCATTTTCAATCAGTATTCAGTAGGAAGACCTTTTACTTTCAATCCGTATTCAGTAGGAAGACCTTTTTACTTTCAACGTATTATCTATTTAAAATGACCATGAATTAATCAAAAGATTCTGTTTGGGTCGAGTGGGTCTCCTTTTCGTGACTGATCTTGTAAGAGAACCATTGCTGTTGTTACCATGGTTTGTTGATAAGCCATCCTTCTTCCCACGACGCTATGGTGTGTGACTCATTGTAAGCCGTACGGGAACTCTTTCTCCGATATCTTTACTGTTGTGGATGCCTTATCTTAATTGGCAGAAATGACAGAACACAAATAACAACGAAACTACCACAGGGGAGGCAATTCGACCAGCGTCATTACGTCAATCCATTCTATGATGTAACTAAAACGTGTACTTTATTGCTGGATAAAATACTGTCCGCGCCTTTGATCTTTCAGTGAAACATCTAATCAGGACCACCCATGCTACATGACAAAGTCTAATGCAATAAGCACATGCCAGCTCAGCCAGTGCATTATCTGAGAAGTCATTGTGACACACGAACACAAAACAGAATTAATGTTAAATATTGACTGCCGGGAATGAAATGTTATTACATCGGAAGACAAATGCTTTAAGGTATGGCTACCCGTGAAGATCCGTGTTAGAATTGATCTTCAGCAACCCATGCTTGTCGTAAGAGGCGACTAACTGGATCGGGTGGTCAGGCTCGCTGAATTGGTTGACACATGTCCTCGGTTCCCAGTTGTGTAGATCGATGCTCATGCTGTTGATCACTGGATTGTCTGGTCCAGGTATAGCTGGAATTTTGCTGAGTGCGGCGTATAACTAACTCACTCACTCAAGGTATGGCAACGATCGGCAATCCATAGGAACAGCGCATCTTGTATATGCATGCAAATGAGCCACAACAGGGGTTCACAAGAAAATTCACACGGTCAGAAGCGAGGCGAGTGTGTCCACCTTGTGCATTGATGCAGGCCTGACACCATCGTCTCATTGAGGTCACTATTTCGTCGATAACAGTCCTTGGGAGAATAATTCCATATCCGAGGAAGGATTTGGCAGTGTTCTTGCAGCGTGGTTACAGGATTCGGATGACGTCGTAAACGTCGCTCCATATCATAAAGACGTGATCAGTGGGTAACAAATCAGAGGTATGAATACATGACACGTGTTGTGGGTAAAGACTTCTCTCTATTCTTTATCACGACGTTAGGGAGCAAGAACTGTAGCGAAACGTAGTGATAAGGAATAAAAAGAAGTTGTTATCTTTAAAACGTGTCATGTCTTCGGGGCTTTGTCGAACCGTTCTTACAGATACACCTCCTTTGTCAGGTATGGTGCGAACTGTAAAGATTGCTTGCTGGAACCTGTGTCGGGGGTGCGTGGTTCGAATCCCATCGTTCCTGACGTGGGGTTGGTACTGGCGGGCGGCCACTACGCGGATAGTGTTGTTTTTTATTGTTTTGCTGAAAAAGTTAATCAAGTGCCAAATGGTATATCTATGGTCGTCGAGTCAACGAGCAACGTCACGCTGCGAGGTAGCAGGCTGAAGTATACATATAGCTCTCCTTCTGTCATATTCCCTGAGACGTGGCCTGTGGAAATTGTTCTTGAACCATGAATACATGTTTCGAAGTACGAAATTTCAGTTGAAGAGGTTACGGGCTTGTATCGTGGTGAGCTTTTTAATAATCTTTGCATTCATACTTATGTTGATACTGTAGTATATCTCTCATCCAGGAAACATTTTAGTTACAAAATTGGTTCCACAACATTATTACGTTAATACAAGTTAGTTCCAAACTATTGGGCAAGAAACGTACTTTGGTTGTCTTTAGGATCTAATATTGCTGTAGTTTAGCAATCGGAGAATATGCGTAACTGGAGTCAACAGGTTTCCTCAATACTAAAACGCGCAAACAACGGTTTTTAGGTATAAATTGAGGGAATAACGCCCTAATCTGTGTATCATCTCTACTGCTGTTGTGTTTGCAACCTTCGCCAGTGGGGTGACGCCAGGTCCATTTGACAGTGGACATCTGTTGGTAGCTGGATAGACATGGCTGTTACTAATCTCTGCAAAGCTGCACCGTATGTACATCCAAGCCGTATGTTAGCCCAATTAGCGGATCATTATCCCCCCTCACTCCCCGCCCCATAGACTACCAATAACTTAGAGATAATACAAACTGACACAAATTGCTCAACAGTTTTCTCCACATTGGATTAGTCCCTGTCATATATAACTGGCTTCGTTAATGAACACATAAATTTATTGATTTACTCAGTCTAAGTTTACTTAGACTGTTGATTTACTGTGTGGGATTATGTCAAAGCACTGATTTGATTGTGATGGAAAGCTTGCTTTGTAAATCAACAGAATCTTGTTTGGGTGTTATTCCGTGAATATGTAACCTCAGTCCTTGTAACACATGTAAAATGCTGTATCTAGCTGTTACCTTATGAAGATATGGTTACCTTATGAAGGTGTCCAGGTCGTTGTTTGATCAGTGATATATGGAAATAGGCAAGTCAACTATTTCGAGAATATTACCAGGATATCTATTGCAAACAATGCCACTGATGACCGATACCACATCAAATTCTCTTGCTCTTGCAAACATTCGCCGGGAGATTTCCTGCTTCAGAGAACTGGAGTATTATAGAAGTATTCAGTATTTATCTTAGGAACCATCGTACTGGAAACATTTATGCACTTATACACTCTTCAAGGAAAGAAACACATATGTGATTTCGAGAATATTGGACTCATGTATCTGCGGCAAAAACAATACAACAAAACGTCACTAAGTAAACATGCTAAGTAAAATGCACGTGGTATCGATCACTATAAAAAGGCAAATGTTGTGTTTAATTTTGTCATTCGTTTTTGCCTGGAAAAGAGGAAATCATCATGCCATGACTGAGTGCCGCCAATCGAAACGTCGCCATAGGCCGCCTTGAAGCTGGGGAGTCGCAGTCTGCGGTTGCCCGACATGTCAACGTTCTTTAGAGAACCCTTATCTCGTCTTTGGGATCGTTTCCTGCAGACCAGTTCCGCCCAAGATCGACCGAGAAGCGGCCGTCCAAGAGTTACCAGGACCGCTACATCCGGGCTGCTCACTAACGTCATCGTCTTGGTTTGAGAAGAAGTTCCGACCGAACTGTCAGGAATCAATTGCGCATAGTGGGGATTCGACCAAGAAAGCCAGTTGTCGCCCCTGTTTTAAGATACTTCCATCGGTGCAATCGCTTGAGTCCTGAATGACACACGATTTCTTCTTCACCGGCGAGATGGAAGACAGCGTTTTTAACGTCGGAGAAATCAACGTTTGGCCCCTAGTTGCACTCGACAGGTCGACAGATTCGGTGGAGACAGTGTCATGGTGTGGGTGAGCTATCCAGCACACCATGACTTAGTGGTGTTTCAGAGGTAATTTGACAGCAAATCGGTACATCAACGAAGTCCTTGCACGTCACGATTATGGACCGGTTTTGGGAATTGTTCCAGCATGACAACTCTACTTCACATACAGCACACGTCAGAGTCCGCTACCTTGCCAGTTCTAACGTCAGTGTCTTGCCATGTCCTTCCCGATCACCAGATCTAAACCCGATAGAACACCTACGGGATAAACTCGATCGACGTGAACGTCAACGTCAAAACACGCCTCAGACACTTCCACAATTGGCCATTGCAGTACAGGAAGAGACGGTGCCAAACTGTTATTGCTGCCAATGGTGGCCATACATAATACTGACTTTGACGCGATCTTGTGGACTCAAGTAAACAGAAACATAACAGAAGAATGATGACAATTTTGTATGGATATACAACTTCTTTTATTCTGTGGAGGCGACGTTTCGACATAGATTCTAATGTTGTTGTCAAGCAAGCATCATTGCAAGTGACATTAGAATCTATGTCGAAACGTCGCCTCCACAGAATAAAAGAAAGTGTATATCCATACAAATTGTCATCATTCTTCATCAATTCAACTTCTAAATTGCCCATCAAAGAAACACAACAATAGAGGCTGCTGTTGTGTTGGCGAACACTCTTTCCATAGACGTGTGAATTTTCACCTTTTTACCATTCAAATTACATGAAATAATTGCTCTTAAAGTAACACAATACATTCTTCTAAAAACGGCTTACGCGTTTCTTTTTTGAAGAGTGTACTGGAACTAATACAGCTCAAATATTGTAATGTTACAGATCTTAGAGATACACACTTAAAGATATCACGAATTTGAATCTGAACATGTGAATATGTTCTATCAGTTGAAAGGCCAATGCCGTTTTAGCTTTAAAGACGTTTACCATATTTTGTGAAACGCCAGTATAGAACTTACCTGTGCTAAATAGAGTTTATAATTGGTTTTGATCATATTTTTCGCAATGGGCCAATGTGTGCTGTTTAGTTGTGGAATTTTAGTTGTGGAATGTTAGTTAAAAGAACAAAAAGGTATATCACACCAAATTTCGAAATACATGGCATCAATTGTCCATCGATGGGTCGACAACACGTTATCCGTGATGTCAGTAAAGTCCCAGATGCATACAGATGGTAAAGCTATGGCTATAGGGGGCATCTTGGAGGTCATCATTATCATGAGAGGATATCGATGAATCTGAAACTTCAAATATTTGTTACTACCATTAATGCAGAGGTAAACTTTGCCTAAAATCACTAGCTTCTTCAGACAGCTGTTACTGTTGCCTATGCCCTATGAGGTATGTTCTGTTGCCACGACTATGTATGTATGAAGAAAATAAACATCGTTGATGTTGAATATCTTGTTGCTGATAGTTGTCATGGTTTATTCAGCACTTTGCCGTTTTATTCAGGTTAATGTTTCTTAGCAGTGTTGTGCATATGTATGATTCAATAATACTCTTGATTCAATAATACTCTTGTCAAACACAAGCGGCATGCAGCAAATCTAGATATTTGTTCTCAGCCCCTACATCTTCTAATCGTCTATGACATGAGATTGCCAGATTAAACATATGACTGCCAGTGATCCGTTCGATCCGTGCCATTATGGTATTACCTGCAGATTCCAGTATTTAGGGGTTAATCAGTGTGAGGTGTCACCAGAAACACTGGTGGAGATAGAGAATTTGAGCTGTTCTCAGTTGGAGTGACTGAATTATAAAAGATAGCACAATAAATAATGTTTATTACGCCCTGTATATATATATCCGGTATGAATGGTCTGAAATAATGACTCCGGGTATTATTATAATCAATGCATTGTGCCTGGAACAATTGGATTGTGTGTCATGGCGCTGCTTGTTAGTTGTTTTTCTGCCGGACACGGCGAGATACGGGAATGGTGAAGTTCGTGGTACCAGCCATCATAAAATATACAAAGAAAGTAATTGTCATCCGTTGTGTCGTAGAAGATACTTTCATAAAATGACCATGTGTTACAAAATGGTCAATAGCACTACCCAAAGTTATCTTAGTAACCTTGTTCCGCCTAGAGTATCAGATGTTGTTGGTTATATTCTGCGCGGGGATCCAAATCTTCAGACTATAAACTGTAAATCTGTAAATTATGCGAAGTCCTTTCTTCCAGATACTGTTGGAATTCATTACCAGCCAAAGATAAAGAATCACCCTGCCTATCGATATTCACAAATTCTAATATCTACAGTCATTTTGACTTAAATTTCGGTAGCAGAATTTGTCAAATCATACATTCTCGTCTCCGACTTGAATTGTAGCGACCTTAATGCGCACAAATATGAAAGATTTATGTCTCCAATATCATCTTGCTCTTGTGGCCACAACTATGAAGACTCTGCTCATTTTTTTCATGTACTCTTTACAACGATATACGTCAAATTATGTATTTTTATACTAAAGGGTTTGACCTAAAATCAATTTTGTTTGGAAACCAAAACTGTTCCTCAATAGTAAACAAAGAACTTGTAATTTCAGTGCACTCGTTTATAAATTTAACAGGCAGATTTAATCCCAAATAATTTGTTTATATGACACATACTGTATAACAATGATTGGCGTTATTTCTCGTTTTAGCAACATTTATGTTATCATTCACATTGTACATTCATCATGACATGTTTACTCTTGCTTCCATTGTATCCTGGAGCGGTATTCATATAAACGTATGCTTGTTTACCAATCCGGTTCCTTTCATTGGAAATAAATATGTTTAAATCATATACGGGAATGTAACTGTCACTGCATTCAGTCTGATTGTCTAAGTATCACATTCTTGTTTGACTGTATCCATGGAAACCGACTTTATATACGTGTAACTTAGCAGCAGAATCACTTGCAAGTCGCATTCCCCTGGGTGAGAATGAGTTGTATTTTATGTCACTTGAACATAATTACAGTTTGATCATGCCCAGGCAACATAATGTGTATGGAAAGCCCAAAGTGATGAAGGTCGTGGTCAGGTATCGCGTCCCACGAGTACAATGAGTTAGCCGTGCTCTCTCCCGCCGTCACCTTGTTAGAATAGTGATAAACACGGCGTAAACTCATACTATCAGACTCACTCACTCGTATGAGAGGCAGTGTATTGATAATTAGGGCTCCTTGCCACAAGTCAGGAGACCTATTGGAATCGTTAATGTTTTTATTATTAATTATTCCGCCGTATTTTGTACCAGTCCTACAAAAAGCAACGCTGGACAGAATCGCTTGAAAAAAATCACCAAGGTGCCGACAGGGGTGAAGTTGTTTCTGTAAAAATCTCAAGGCTCTAGGCCAAATAGCAAAGGGGAGATAATTCAAAATTAAATCAAAATTTTCAATTTCCAAAGCAATAATCTCCGAAACTACAAGTCCGATGACTACCAAATGTCTGGAGCAGGTCTGAAATCCGATTACCTTCAATTTTAACTGGGATCCATGGGGCTACGAGGCACCGTTTGGCCACCATATTGGATTTAAGGAAATTTCACGATTTTGACGGGTAGTCATTTCCGTTCGTCCGCATGTCATGTGCGTGTGCATCTGATAGCTGAATTCCTAGCGGTTCCAGAACACTAATTGTAGACCGAAGGACAACGGAGCTACAGACTGTCAAAGAGGGAACTCTTTCTTCTCCGGGACTTCTTAAAACGTACATGACCCTGCGACCTCGGCTGTATTTGGAAGATCCGCTCGCCTGTCAAAAACGTGTTCTGGCTCTGTTTTGGACGATTTAAAGCCCTCAAATACGTTTCAAACACCCATAACTCTGAAACCAACCCTCCTATTTCGACTAAAATTTACCTGTACATGTAGGCTGTTAGTTCTGATCATATCTGCCGATTTCAGTAATGTATCTCCAAACATAACAGAGGGACAAATGATTATATTTTCAACACTACAGTTGCTATCGGTGCACGATGAAAGTTAGCAGTATGTGTCCCAAACGTTTGCTGATGTTCTATGGTGCATGTGGATAGTAACACCAGTTTGGTACATATGTTGTTCATGCTTGTTCGAGGTAAATGAAATAGCATGTATCAAAGGTACAGTAAATAATAACAAGAACAAGAAGTTAATTGGAAAGTACAGAAACAATGTGATGATAAAGGCTTACATGTAGAAGCCAGTGACAATGGATTACATTTAAAAGCCAGTGGGATGTACAGAGTAGGAGAGGTTGGACATGTTTATACAAGTTATCCAGGCAGTTAGGGTTGGTTGATGAGTTCGTCGTATGCTGAGGGGATGAAATAATCTTGATCTCTGTTGATCAGGGGTCGGTGTCGTTTGACGTGGATGGCATAAGTTAATATGCGTTTGGTAAAGCCAGATTGTTTGCCAAGATTGTGTATTCTGTGCAGTTGATTTGGTGATTGAGGTTGTCTGAATGTCTTCTGAGATAGCTGATTTGTTGTCGAATTTGTTTGTTGATGCCTGGTGCTCTTTCACTCTGGTGTTTACTGGCCTAGATGTTTTGCCAATGTACGAATCTACATCGAAAGTGTCATTATCCACACAATACTACACAATCCTTTGTATCTAACCCATCTAACCCTGGACCATATGAATTCAAAGTTAAGGAATGACGAATTTCCCATTACTGGCAGTGATATGATCCCTATTAACAGTAGGCATTACTACTTTCAACATCTACATCACATGTACAAGAGGCTAGATTGTATCAAACCCAAGGAGCCCTAAATCGCTGCTCGTAGCTATATTTGAATATGAAGTACACTGATTTAGATTCTCCTAACGGTATAAGTGGCACATTATCAGTTCGATGTTAAAAGACTAAGGCATTAGATCTTGATATTCAGGTATATATTATATACATACAGGTAGTTTACTTATAATTGTACAACCCTTACACAGGGACGTTTGTTTGGCTACAGCTGGTACACATCTCGAATGTCTTTATTGAAATCGTGAATATGTATCTTCGAAACACATTGCAGTTAAGCAGTGATTGGTATTGTGTACGTTCACATCCTTGTCACTGACAGTCATATATATATTTAAGGGACCGTTCATAAGTTATGGCTGGTGACACCCACCCAAACACCCCCTCCACCCCCCCCCCAAATCATAATCTTGTAATATCAAGTCATAGAAGATGTCGGGGACGAGAAAAATAGCTCGATAACATGAATACTGTAATAACAAGGTTAATCATATATTATCTGTTAATCGGGTTGTTTCGAATACTTGTTTCCTCGTTTTAGCTTCCTCGTAGCGAGCATGAAAGAAGTCATTTCCGGTCACAGATCGGCACACCCGGGGTCGTGTCAATGCTTTCCTATTCCTTCTCCCCACAATGGTACAATGTGTCCAGTTCATTTCCGTTGTCCCTCGCACAGATATTCTGTATTTCTTTCACGATATAAAAATTCCATAAGTGACACTCTTAGAATTTCAATACAAGTTCTTTCATAGAATAATTTATACCAAAAAGGAACTACTAAAAATGGAATTGATTGACACCGATTTGTGCTCATTCTGTGAGTCAGAAGGTGAAAATATTGAGCATGTGTATATAAAATGTCCATGCGTCAAATCCTTCTGGGAGGATTTTAACTACCGGTACTATGTTGATATAATATTTGGAAAACATATTGAAATAACAATTAAGCCATGACACTCTTTTCTTCTTCTTGTGTTGACAGTTTATTAACTTATATGATCATTCTAGCCAAACAACATATATTTGTTATGAACATCAAAGGGCATAAACCATCTATTAATTCTTTTAAAGTTACCCCGAAAAGACGTCTTCACAGTAGAAAAATACATTGCTATTAAAACTGTTAGAATTAGTCTTTTCAATAGAAAATAGAAGGTACTACAAAACGTGCTTTAACTATTTTGCTCATATATTAACGTTCACCTCTGTTGTTGTTTATATGTTTGGATCAGTTGTCTGAACTGATCACCTGTTACTACCAGTGTCAATGTTTATCTTGATATAAGCGCAGATTCATCAGCTGGAGTTGTCACTGTTCTGATTTATACTGTATCCTTTTTTGAATGTACTTTAATTATGTAACTTACTGAGTGTAATAAAGAAAAGTGGGGAATGCTAATAATAGCTGACGCCATTTAAAACCCCCCAACATTTTCTCGAAGCCTGGCTTCACCTGTATAAGACCGAGACGAGGGCGATTCGAGGCCTTTAGTCTGTCTCACAGGCCCTGAACCACAGTATTTCCCCACGCCTAGCCCACCTTGCAATGCTAAAGCCCTAAATGAAACAAGTCTAGATTTCTCCAGGTTCAGGATTTCACACATTCCTTAGTGCACACTTTCATAATATGTCATTTTAGTGTTTAGCCACTTTCTGGTGTACCCGAAGGTGGTAGTGCAATAATATCTCATACTCCCCATTTACCAAATGTACTGGCCATTTCGACTGTACACTGTCATGTGCGTTTCAATATAGTTTGTTAAATAGTCATCGATTTTTTGTGGTTATCTATGGAGATACGGTCCATCCCTACACAACAGAAATATTGGTTTACCTTCGCGTTTACACTCGAAACACAACTCGTAACATAAGGCAACGAAGAACATGTGAGGTGACATTGATTTAATGTTCAACACTGTTGTTCTTAAAAACAATGTGGGTTGCTTGAAGTAGGCCGAGCTAACGCCGTTTTTATAGCGCAGGACTGATGATATACCAGGTCACATTTAGAGTGCCAGTGCAGAGCGTCCTGCAGGCAACTGACACCACCTACAGTGACAAGCATATATACGATTACGGCCTAATCCGTCGAATTTTGCTTGAGTGGTTCTGTGCTAATCGGTCGAATTTCAGACCGTGTTAACACACTGGGAGAGTCTAAGTTCATTAATTAAGGGGTCGGCTTGGATTAGACTACATGTTTTCTTAAATAGTTTCGCTTCCACTGTGTGCCAAGCTTAGTTTCAGCAAACTTATTTGTCCATTTGACAATATCGTCAACAATTTCAGGACAGACGTACGGGGTGAAGGCTTCCACTGGATTTTGATTGGTGACTTTTCCATTCAGATGGCGAATAATATTTCTCTGAGGCGTTCGAGCTCATGGCATTGGGTCTTTGAACCACTGTCTTCCATCACGGCTGTAATACCTATCAGGCGCTTATATTTGTTCATCAGTCTCATTGTCAGAGTTGGAAGTAGCGTCATCCTCTAGGTCACAGTCGGATTCTGTGCTTTCAGATCCTTCAGATGGTTGATAATCTTCATCAGATCCACCATCACTTTCATTAGAGTGATCACCATGGAAGCACTGAAGGGACCTGGTGAAATAGAATTTTTCTTGAGCGTACTATTTTGAGTGCACCAGTTAGTTTTCTTGAGCGTACAAGTTAACATCTTGAGCGCACAAGTTAGTATGTTGAGCGCACAAGTTAGTATGTTGAGTGCACAAGTTAACATCTTGAGCGCACAAGTTAGTATCATGTGCGCACAAGTTAATATCTTGAGCTCACAAGTTCGTATCTTGAGCGCTCAACTTCGTGTTTAGCATCTAATGGCATTAAAGGAACGCACGTTTGCTTGACTGATGGCTAAAATGTTTAAACATATATCCTTTTTGGAAGATTTCAAAAGATGCAAAGTCGGTGTTAACTATAGGTGTTTATGATGAGGCTATGTAAAAGTATGCAAATGTGTCATGAACATTGATAATGTTTTTGTAAATGTTCATCGTCTTTATGCTTGTCAATACTATTTTTTTGTAACTGATTTTACCACTTTTTGCTTTATTACATAAAGCAGGCCCAGGTATGTGTAAAGTATATAGTAATACAAATTCAAACATAAACATGAGTAGGAGTTTATTGCAGGAATGAATAGTGGTTTTACTGACTTCTAATATCGGTACAAAGTATTATGAACACTAGCGTAAAGCTTGGATACCTTGTTTTGTGCTACGGCTTTATTATGTATATATAGTATTACATGACCATGAAAACTGTAAACATGGAGTGTTATACATAATTATAAAACTCATGTCTGATGTATTGAGTTTAACTCTGTACAATATCATATAAAACCCGCCTTATTTATTTGATCCATCAGTGTGTGCACGTATAGCACATATACCGACTTTATTTCTTACTAAAATACCATGTTCCCCGTTTTACTTCGTCCGTTTCAATCCCTTATGTATACGTAAATTATGTGTGTTGTAGTTATTTAACATGTTTTAACAACACATGAAGTTGAAGAATAAACACGTCGATGAAGACGGTGTCTTGAGCGAAATTCAACGCCATCCTGGTCCAACACTATTAGCAACGAACGTACACTATCCTGTTTCACGATTAAACCGCATTGGATACATTTTTTATGCATCCAGCGATAACCATGTCTTTGTCCAGATCGTCGAAGTTGTCCGCAATGAAGTCTGTGGCATCAGCGGGCCGGTGGGGTAGCCTAGTGGTTAAAGTGTCCGCTCGTCACGCCGAAGACCTGGGTTCGATTCCCCACATGGGTACAATGTGTGAAGTCCATTTCTGGTGTCCCCCTCCGTGATATTGCTGGAATATTGCTAAAAGCGGCGTAAACCGTACTCACTCACTCACTGTAACATCAGTAAATCTGGTATCTGGTGCGAAAGAGGGACATACACCTCAGAATACGCTTCAAGTGGCGTACTATACTATACCATGATTTTTGACAAGAAGATGTATTTTATCTTTGTTTTGGAACCAAAGACTGAAATAAGCATGAATCAGCTCGCGTTTCCGCTCCTCCTTGCTTCCACATGAACTGCTTATGGAGTAGTGTATCTCAACATGCTAAGTTGAGCGCTCAACATACTAACGTGTGCGATCAATATATTAACGTGTTCGCTCAAGATATTAACTTGTGCGCTCAAGATACTAACTTGTGCGTTCAAGATACTAACTTGTGCGCTCAAGATACTAACTTGTGCGCTCAAGATACTAACTTGTGCGCTCAAGATACTGACTTGTGCGTTCAAGATACTAACTTGTGCGCTCAAGATACTAACTTGTGCGCTCAAGATACTAACTTGTGCGCTCAAGATACTAACTTGTGCGCTCAAGATATTAACTCTGCTCTGAATACTCACTGCTGTCAGTAAACATGGAAGCCTTTTGTGACTGAGCCAGTCTCCACATTTCAAGCCTATGACGGTGGTCCCAAAACCTTTATTGACCACATCCTAATTCCCGTTGACGTCATCGGGTTTGTAGGTAATGCCAAGGTGAAAGATGACAACCCGTTCAATGTGTCAGACCACCATCCTGTTATGTGTCGACTAAGCATCCCTTCACTTAGTAGGCCGATATCTGAGGACCCATTCAAGAAACCAGCCTGGTACAAAGCCGTGCAATCTGGTCAAGTTAAAGACTTTACATATGCGGTAAGCAACGCCCTGTGGGGTATTCGAATTCCAGCTCTTGGCTGTACACCTGAAGATGTGGAGACACTATATGAAACAATTGTAAATGCCTTAAAATCTTCCGCTGATGAATGCCTCCCTGTCAAGGAATACGTTCCCCACCTGAAGCCGTACTGGAAAGGTGTTACCAAGAGTCTGCATGATAAGATGTTAGAAGCAAGGCGTTACTGGATAAATAATGGAAAATCCAGAGGCATGGAACACAACTCCTTCCGTCTGTACAAACATGCTAAAGATGAGTTCCGCTCAACCATGAGAGACAGTGCTGAGAAGTTCGAGAGAGAATACTTCCAGAATGTGGATAATCTCTGCGATACTGATCAAAGATTGTTTTGGCATCTCATTAATAGGAATAACAAATCGAAACAGATACTCTCTATAAAAGATGATAACAAAATCTACACCAGTCCTAAAGACATCTGCAATTCACTGGCTGACTACCTGAAGAAAATATTTTGTGACCTTCAAGAGCCCCACTTTGAACGACTTCCAAACAGAGATAGAAAATGAGGTACAACAGATACAAAATGAAGTAAATAGTACAGACCTCCAGAATTCCTTGTCACTCTGTTCAGAATTAGAAATATCTAGACTTTGTTCATCTCTGAAAAATGGTAAAGCTGGAGGAATCGACTGCATTCAGTATGAACATCTAAAACACGGTGGTACCTACCTTCACAGAGTCCTTGCACATTTGTTTAACATTGTTCTTGTGACCGGATTCCTTCCTTCCTCATGGAAAACACTTAATAAAAACCAAAGAACTCAGCTGATTCTTACCGGGGCATAACTCTGCTTCCTGTCATAATGAAACTCTTTGAGAAGATCATCGAAAGACGCATCCCCCACTTTGGAAATCATAACGAGTTCCCAAATTCACAACAGTGTGGATTCCAGAAAGGACTGTCTTCCCTACACACCTCATGTGTGATACAAGAAACTGCACACCATTACAGGGAACAATCGGATTCTCTCAGAGCCGTGTTTCTGGACAGTGCCAAAGCCTTTGACACGGTCTGGCATGCTGGTCTCCTTTACAAGTTGCATCTCCTGAAGATCCCTAGTGCGATATGGAACGTTTTGGACAACATGTATTCCAACATGGAGAGTTGTGTGATAGTCAACAACGTCATCTCACACTGGTTTGGTGTCTCGAGAGGTGTGAGACAAGGCCGTGTTTTATCAGCCAAACTATATCTTGTCTTCATCAATGAACTGCTATGTAAATTGTCAGCTTCTGGCAAGGGTGCACTAGTCTTGGATCTCCACGTCACTTCACCAACGCAAGCTGACGACATCACTCTCTTAAGTCCGCTCACATCCAACCTACAAGATCTGGTGCACATGTGTGAGGACTACAGCGCAAGATGGAGGTTTAGCTTCTCCCCGTCCAAGAGTGGCGCTCTCACCTTCACAGACAAGAAAGCAGTGCATCATCTTCAGCTTACTCTCTATGGGAAGCCTATTCCGAACCTTGAGTCCATCAAACATGTTGGAATCGACTGACTGACTGACTGAGTTTTGGTTTTACGACGCTTTTAGCAATATTCCAGCAACATCCCGGCGGGGGACACCAGAAATAGGCTTCACACATTGTACCCATGTTGGAATCGAACTCCACAAGAACTTCAACTCGTGGGATCGCTTAATCAAAGCCTGCTCCAAACTGAAAGCCGCAATGATGTCTGTGCTCAAGTCTGGTTGCCATGGTGACACCCTGAACCCTATCACTAGTTCTAAAATACTGCAAACAATCTGTCTTCCAAAAGCGTGTTACGGATGCGAACTCTGGTCCTGCCTCACCAAAAGTGAAATATTGGCCCTTGAAAGAGCACAACGTTTCTGCATTAAAGTGATTCAAGATCTCCCCAAAACAACCAGGACTGACGTGTGTAATGCTCTGCTAGGATGGTTACCCATAGAAGCCCACATCAACAAAAGCAAACTCTTGTTCTTCGGAAGGCTGTGCCACACCTCTTCCAGGAATACAAGCTACAAGCTACTTATGACACGAATCTTTGCCTTGAGAAACAACTGTGTGGTTGACCCAGGAGGATTCACCTCAGACATACTTCGTATCCTAACGAAGTATAACTTGTGTGACTATCTGAAAGAAGTCTACTACTCTGGAAGTCTCTGCCAATAACTTCAGCACCAACGTGTCGACGCCGACCCTGAAATGAGACATTTCTTGAAAATCCATCCTGTGCTGGTCCCACACAGAGCCTGGTTCATTGCCCGACAATTCCCACATCTTAAACATGAATGCAAATTTGTGGTCAAGCTATGTGCATCATGGCGCCCAGGAGGTGCACAAGGCATATGTGAGCTGTGTCAGTCACGCTTCAAAGACTTACTCATCCATACCATCTGTCATTGTACAGATAAGATGAGTGAACAAGATAAACTGTGCCTTGAAATCTCAAGCATTGGTCCAATAGAGCTGGGAGTGAACCTGCTAAACCAACCTGACGAGGATGTGGTATGCTGTCTTCTATCATGCACTCCATGTGTCCCTTTGGATAACACTGACAACACCATCTACTCTTGTCTGGTCGTTCAAGGATTGTATAGACTGTGTAAATACACCAGATTTACCTTATCGTAAAGTGACTTAAAACCAAACTCATCTAATCCAGTGCTGCTCCAATGACTCTAATGTATTCTTCTTTTTAAATACCTCTCCTACTTAATGTACGTTTTCTGCCTGTCCGTGTTATTGCACTCTCCAATGGAGGAATAAAGAATATTATATATTATTATTATCAAAATCAAGTAATACGAATTTCTGTAAGGGTGTTGAGGTGTCATACTAAATACGGGGTAACACGTTTACTGTTGCTGAGAGATCCCGAAAGATCCTTTTTTTCCTTTGCATTTCCCCGCGGGGAATCGCCATCAGCGTCCAGACTTCCCAAGGCCACTCTTTCATACTAAACAATAGGTTTATTTGTCCTTCCTTCTTCGCCTCGATCTGACGGGTGATGCCTTCCCGGCATGCAACATTAAAGCAACGAGCGGCTGACGGTCATCAAGTTGTGTTTGGTGCAGACGAACACGTGGGGAATTCTCGCAAAACAGATACACGGATCGACGTTTGGATTGTCCAAAATGAACGGATTTATCGTAACAGGGTTGGCGTTTGTGCTGTTCGGAGGTACGTAAACTATAGCGTTTCCAACAGGTAGTTTACCTGTGATTTGCACACCCCTCGCTGTATTAGAGCTATACCGCTGACACATGGCCCAAACGTGTTCAGTGAAACTAGCATCATGTCCGAAACGCTCTGTTGTAAAATATTCGTGTGAGATTTACATCGCTCGTTTTAGAACTGTTAGGGCTATCATATGTTACCATGGGCTACCAGACACGGGATCGATCAACCGATTGCCAGTCACATTCTTAACCTGGTGATTAGAAGCCATTTACCTGACAGTCTCGCGTCACCATAGATGCAGGTAGCTGGTGCCTTGAAAAATAGCTCATTTGTTGCGTACAATTGTTGCTACCCCGGGGCGGTGGGGTAGCCTGATGGTTAAAGCGTCCGCTCGTTACGCCAAAGACCCAGGTTCGATTCCCAACATGGGTACAATGTGTGAAGCCCATTTCTGGTGTCCCCGCCGTGATTTTCCTGGAATATTGCTAAAAGCGGCGTAAAACACAACTCGCTCACTCACTCAAGACCGGCGCATTACAAAATGTTAGCTGTTAACACTTTCCGAGTGAGTATGCGCAGACTTTCCAGGAATGTAATCTCTGCTCCTCACAGTCGGGACTAGCTACTTTAAATAACCAAACTCCAAACAGGTAACACCAACCTCAAGCTTCACATGCATGAATTTAAGAAACAACCTATATACGGGCAAATGTACCAACATGCAGAACAGGTGGCACTGCAGATTGCACGTCAGATTGCACGGAATGATACCTAACTTTACAATCACTCATTAGCCCTCTCAACAACACACTATAGCCTTAGTAATCGACTTAGTCATCTAAACGCCGACATTCCTGGCCGAACATAACCACACACCAATATTACCACCACAAATCTAAAAAACGAATCCCCCGCAATCGACAATTACAGTCTACATACACATGGACAATTTGTTCGGAATCGACGTCTGTTTTCTTGAGTTGCATGTGGTTGAGTACATTTGATGGCTAGAAATCGTGAATGGATCTAAAAAAACAAACCATGAACACTTTTTTGACAGATCTCTCAAAGACAGCCGAATCATGTCCCTCTTATGGAGTCCGGGAGAAGAATGAGTTCCCTCTTAACATACATGTTATACAACTTTTCAAAAGTACTTAAATTGTGAGGAAGTCTTTAACTTTGGCCCAGATGTAGTCAATATATGGGCCATCGAAGACACTTCTAATATTTTGTGCAAAATTTGCACAGTAGTTCATGGTCACAAAGTACGGAAGTTTTGCAAGCCATTGAGCTGATAGTTCGAGCTCCGTATTTTGTTGGAGCAAAGTATCGAGAGAACTGGTGAAAAACGTGTTCACAAACTTCAATCCAAATGGCGTCCAAACAGTACATTTTGCTTACTTGACCGGTGGGAATTTGATTGCGTATCTGCGTAAATAATTTCGAAGTCATTGTACAAGTACTTTGGGAGATATTTACGGTTAAAATTGAATTTGTTTATTTATCTGTCCTTTGTTTTTGGGTAAAGGGCATTGAGCAAAACCAACCACACTACCGCCACTCTGTCCTCTCCTTTGCTCAGCTGAATCTGACCTTGGGATGGCGAATTAGGCTGATTTCTTCGCATGTGAGTGAGTGAAGGCGGAAGCAGCCTCTGTTTGCTATCTCTGTATAGTGATTCCTGCATCTAGGGTGACATGTTGCAGGACAGGAAACACCTTGTAACGATTGGGCGGTTTGCACTGTGATGACCTAGAGGTTTAGCAGACAGACACAAATCACGGCTAGACGCAAATACATAGTTCACTCCACTCCACTCCACTCAGAAATACATATATCTGGGCATACTTGTATGAAAGCTACTGTTAATGTTTACACTGTCCCAGTTTGAAGTTTGGAAGTATTAATACGGCATTAACACTGAGAGTAATAATCACTACACCATGTAGCTAGGGATTCACCTCAGTAAGGCTTGGTTTAGATCAACTCGACTGGACTGTTACCTCTCTGGTGGTGGTGTAAAGGTTCATGATCCCAACGTAGAAAAACGAGAGTTTCAATGGTGAAATCACTGTATACACTTCGGCACCAACAAATAGCATTGGCCGTTTCTGTAGAGTGAACTCTTTACTTGGTCGCTGCACGCAGTGTCATACTATTGTCCTTCAAAGCCGGAAGATTGTTCATCATCAAAAGCAGGGCCACGTCACAGGCGAAAAGGAGCCCTATTTATTCCGAATACCCGCTTTGTACAGAATACCCACATTATACTATATACTCACTTTATACTGAATAGCCGCTTTATACTGTATACCCGCTTTATACCCTCTTTATGGGGCGGTGGGGTAGCCTAGTGGTTAAACCGTTCGCTCGTCACCCGGGTTCGATTCCCCTCATATAAAACCATATTCACTCACTAACTATACCCACTTTATACTGTATGCTCGCTTTATACTGAATGCCTACTTTATACTGTATGCCCATTTTATACTGTATACCCACTTTATACTGTACACCCACTTGATATTGTATACCCACTTTATATTGTATGCCCGCTATATACTGCAAACCCACTTTATATTGTATGCCCGCTATATACTGCATACCCACTTTATATTGTATGCCCGCTATATACTGCATACCCACTTTATATTGTATGCCCGCTTTATACTGTATACCCACTATATACTGCATACCCACTTTATACTGTATACCCACTTTATACTGTATACCCACTTTATACTGTATACCCACTTTATGTTGTATACCCACTTTATATTGTATGCCCACTTTATACTGTATACCCACTTTATACTGTATACCCACTTTATATTGTATGCCCGCTTTATACTGAATACCTACTTTATACTGTATACCTACAGTGTGCAAACGGGTGGTCAGGCCGCTGACTTGGTTGACACATGTTATCGTATCCCAGATGCTAAGATCGATGCTCATACTGTTGATCACTGGATTGCCTGGTCCAGACTCGATTATTTACAGACAGCCGCCCTAGAGCTTGAATAGTGCGGAGTGCGGCGTAAAACAACTCACTCACTCACTATGCAAACTGTACATACCAGGGATACCCACTATATACTGAATACCTACTTGATACTGAATGTAATATGTTAATGAGTGCCTCCGTGATGTAGTGGTTAGAGCGTCCGCCCGGAGAACGGAAAGTCGCTGGTTCGATCCCCGGCCGCGTCCTACCAAAAATATGGTACTTGTTGTTCCCTGCCTGGGTACACCAAAGACTGGTCGGCTCGCAGTCAGTATAATGTGTCTGAGTGGAGTATTCATGCTTACCTGCCTCATGGTATATCAGTGAGCTAGCCCTATAAAACCAGCTTAAGTCTAGCCTAGTATAAGAAGCCACAGATACATACACACACATGCACGTCGTCATTATGAGCGAAATACGACGCTCAAGTACGACGTTAAGCCACATTTCACCTCACCTAATGTATGCTGATTGTCTTGTGGGTTGTATACTGTAGTGTGGTGAATGTTTAGTGGAGGAATGTCTTGTGGGTTTTATACTGTAGTGTGGTGAATGTTAAGTGGAGGAATGTCTTGTGGTGAATGTTTAGTGGAGGAATGTCTTGTGGTGAATGTTTAGTGGAAGAATGTCTTGTGGTTGTAAACTGTAGTGTGGTGAATGTTTAGTGGAGGAATGTCTTGTGGTTGTATGCTGTAGTATGGTGAATGCTTAGTGGAGTGAGTTGTATGCTGTAGTATGGTGAATGTTTAGTGGAGGAATGTCGTGTGGTGAATGTTTAGTGGAGGAATGTCTTGTGGTTGTATACTGTAGTATGGTGAATGTTTAGTGGAGGAATGTCTTGTGGGTTGTATGCTGTAGTATGGTGAATGTTTAGTGGAGGAATGTCGTGTGGTGAATGTTTAGTGGAGGAATGTCTTGTGGTTGTATACTGTAGTGTGGTGAATATGTAGTGGAGGAATGTCTTGTGGTGAATGTTTAGTGAAGGAATGTCTTGTGGTTGTATATTGTAGTGTGGTGAATGTTTAGCGGAGGAATGTCTTGTGGGTTGTATACTGTAGTTTGGTGAATGTTTATTGGATGAGCGTCTAGCGGGTTGTATACTGTAGTGTGGTGAATGTTCAGTGGAGGAATGTCTTGTGGGTTGTATACTGTAGTGTGTTGAATGTTTAGTGGAGGAATGTCTTGTGAATGTTTAGTGGAGGAATGTCTTGTGGGTCGTATACTGTAGTGTGGTGATTGTTTAGTGGAGGTGTGTCTTGTGGGTTGTAT